AAATCAATCAAAAGGCGATAAAATGGCATATTAACAATAAACAAACAAGCACAATTAAGATGAGTTTAAATCAGCTATCATTACAATTACGAGATGCTTTTGATGAGATATCGACCACAGTTACTAGTGTTTCTTTTATATTTTTGCAACAGCAAGATATCAATAGGAAATAATTTTCCTTAATGTGACTTGCATGTATCTTGCTTTCACTCTATTTCCTTTTGTTTTTTTTTTCAGGTGAGCGCGTGCAATGCATTTTATCCGGCCAATTATATATCGATCGCAAATGTGTTTTGAATTTTTAATCGATCTTTTAACTGATGATGAACGAAAAAAAAATTACAAGCTCTTATATAACTTGATTTTATTCGTAATTTTTTTTTTCAGTTCACGATTTTCCATTTGCTGATACGCTAGCTGCTTCATTCAATCTTCATTCAGTTCCGTTTCATACAAAGACAACAACGACAACAATTTTTGGCCAATTATAGTTTTTTTTTTTAGTTAAGTGGTCATTTTGAAAACGACACCAAATGAATCGTTTGCTCATGACACAGGTAAATGAGTTATGGACACAATAAAATAGTCAGTTCATTCTTTATCCTTACTCTATTTCGCTCTTTCGACATTAGATATGACGGCGATTCATCTATACAAAGTGCAGTCATTTAATTAATGCCACAGATTTACTTATATCTGATCGCATAAAAACATTTGGTCTGGCTAGTCAATTTAAAGGAACATAAAGTAAAAATCAAATCAACAAAAATAAGATGGAAAAATAGTGTGATGTGTGTGTGTGTGTGTGCGTATGATGGATCGTTGACCGAATACACGACTGCAAAATATATATACACAGGATAAGAATTGAAAGGCTACAGGGGATGTGCAACGAAATATAAACGCGTTTGAATTTGCAATTCTTGGAGTTGCAAACGCAAGACGCGATCTGAAAACAAAAGAGAAAAACATACACAACAAAACCTGGCCACTGCCGTGGCGGTAAACACTTGCACTTTCGATCGCTGATTCCATTTCGAAATGTATTAAAGGCAATTGTAATTATGGCAATTAAACTACAAGATATAAATTATAATAAGATGATGGCATTAGCCATGCAAACGAGAGCGCACAACACAATTATACGAGACTCAAGTTGAAATTGGAAGTGCATTGTAAATGCATACAGAGAGTATATCGAAATCGCACAAGTTTTCAATAAATGTTTCACAGTTCAGCCGAAATGAAACTGCCAACACAAGATTCCGATGAACAATAACAACAGCAAACACATTCAGGTTATTCAAATGAGTTTCTGAGAGAAAATTAAGCTCTCGAAAAAGAGTGTGAAAGTGCATTTAAAACGAGCTTAAAGTGCAATGGCACATGTTATGCTGTTCGAAATAAAAAGGGCATCGTCTTTTGATTCATTTAACTCGTTCGCTCAATTTACTCTTTTGTTCCTTTCCATTTAATCGTTTCGTTTAAATTTTTCAATCAAATCCATACGGACACATGAACGGCAGAAGATCCGCTCACATCCAACAAACTTTTGAGACCTTCATGGACCTTCATCTTATATTTCAACGAGACACACAAGGTAAGTATATATCATCTTTATGAATCGCATAAAAGGAACTTTCATCTAGTTTCATTTATATTTGATTCCCAAAAACACGTATTTTGTTCATCTCACTTATGGGTATTCCATCGAATTTGTGCTTTTAATCGGTTTAATTCATTTTACCGATGTTCAATAGTAATATTGATAATTTTCATCGCATGCCCGGTCTTATTCATTCACAATTCTTTTCGAAAAAAAGGGTTATTAAATGTTCACCAAATGAATTGTGATTACTTGCAAATCAGTAGAAAAACGAAAAGAGAAATGAATATGCTGTAGCCATGAGAGTGAAACTTGGAAAACAAGATGTAAAGACCGTTGAGAGAAGAAACAAAAAGAAGACAACCGATTAGCGGTTGATATGCACGTTTTAGTAGGATGTGATTTCCAGATTTCTATTGTACAAAAGACTAAAAATAATTTTGTGCAACGTTGTCGTCGTCTATATGAAACGTCGTTCTCGTTCCAATCGACAAGAAGCGCATGCATAATTTTGAAGAAAGAAAAAAAAAACTCGTGCACACACTTTAAAAAGGCATTGCAAGTGCGGAATGAGCATCACAAAATTGCAATCGTAATACTTGGTTGATAAATTGCTGAGAAAATGAAATAGAGAGTGAGAGAGAAAGAGTGGAAGAGCGAGCCCATGTGAGAAAATGACTACAAAAAGCCAACAACATCAGACAATGAATAATTATAGTGATAGTACGAAAGTGGAAAAGCACCCAGTTAATTCAAAAAACAAAGAGAATATAAAATAAATAACGAATTATAGAGAGAGAAAGAAGAATACAACAACCGCTGATGCCGCAGCATTCAACACAAATATGTAATTGCAAAAGATGTTGCAAATGAGGTTTCATACACATGCTTAATGGTTTAGCCCAATGCAAAACATACAGTAAATGACGGGATTTTATTGTCCGTGTCGTTGAGTACACTTCTTTCTTTCTCTCTCTTAAAATTTGTTATGATTCCTCGTCAAGAAAACTGGAGATAACCGACTCTAAAATATAAACCATACACACACTGCAAGTAAGCAAGCAGCACTTGAGTGAAATATTGAATGAATCTTTTGCTTTTTTTCTTCTTCTTCTAAATATATATATTAGAGTGCAACCAATATCAATTGCACTTTGGATTTTGAGAGTATATAAAAAAAAAAACAGAAAAAACGATTGAAATACATATGATACAACCAATTGGACGCCGTTGGAAGAAATTTTTAAATTAGTTTATGTAATCGATGAAAGCCATATGACTACGATCAACGACATTGGTCGTCATCGTAGTGGTCTTTGTACTCCTTGCCATCGTCATTATCGTTGTGAGCATTATCACTGGTGTTCTCATTGTTGATTCAATGAAACCGAGCTCATGCCTCACAAGCCAATTCAATTCATTCAGCTCATTTATTGGATTAAAAAAAAAGAATCTAGATTACGTACTATATTACAGACGACAACGGTGTGCTTGTTCGAAGCGCAATCTTCCATGAAATTACGTTTTGTCAACATCTATATAGAATGTGCCAAAGGAAGACCCAAATCGAAATTAATTCCCCACTAAGTATATACGTATGTATGGTATTATTATCAGCCAATTAAATAGTCAGTTTTCAGATTATTGCTACATTTTAACATTGTTAGATATGGGTCAATGAATTTTATCCGCTTTAAATAGCAACTGTTTTGAATCCTTCTTTTCTGTCCGTTTTCAAGTATACTTTCAAAACTTTTCAGTAATAATTACTCTCTTAAGAGAAAACACAATCAAATAATCATTAAAATCCATTCTAACTGGCGTTCATATTATTAAGTTACTTATTGTCAATTGGTTACGATTCAATGTCTTTCATTGATTTTATAAATAGATTTTTGGTAGTGTCTGTTGCACTATCGTGCGCTCACATTACTTGATCGAAAACATCCGTGATGATAATAATAAGTTTTGATATGGGTGTCACTGAATAATTGTGGCATATATCAACCAACCTGTATGTATGCGATGATTGATTATTCATATTTCATTCTCTCTCTTTTTCCATACGTAACCGAATGTTTTCATTATATACACCCGGTGTGACAATGAATATTTTCCACGACATACAAAAAAAAAAAAAAAAAAATGAGAGAAATATGTGGAAAGAAAGCGAATGAAACTCCAAACAAATGAATACATTTCGAATTCTGTATGAACAATTTGCAACTAGCAAACAATGAAATGGAAAATAAACAGCAAAGTTTCACTTCGTCTTAGAATAAATGCCACAAAATGACAACGAAAGCGCGGTGGCGGAGGCAAACGAACGAACAACGACTGCGATGAAATACAAATTGTGAATGAATGACTCATTGAACCATCGTCGTCGCTGTCGGTACGTTTCACATTAAATACATAAAATGCATGTGCGAAATAAATAAATGAGACTAAGCCTCTTTCTGTCGTAAGTAAGCTTTGCAAGTAGAGAGCAATATGTCGTTTACGGGATGTCATATGTGTTTATTGTGTTCTTTTCTCGTTCGTTCGTTCGTTCGTTTGTCGACGTTTTAGTTATTGATAGCAGCTCGATATATATTTAATGCTAGCACATTTTTTCAATGAAAATTGCTAATATGTCAACACATCAAATGGTCTCAACTAAATTTTCAACTTGAAGTAAACGCACACGCAATGAATAATATACTATAACTATACGCTTCATAAAAAATTATCGCGACACCAAAAAGAGAAAAAGGAGAAAATTGAAGTTTTTTAAATTTGCGAAAAATTGTAGCTATGTCATGAGAATATCAGCTATTTTAAAGATTTTAGAGTCATTTGTTGCCTAATATTTTTGTTTTGAACAAGCGGTTTTTTAATATGTGCAGTGCGATTTTTCCGATATGAATGAATTAATCAGATAAATGTTGGATACTTTCTTCTGTTCTCGTTTCATATTTGCTTTGTTTTCGGATGATTGTATTTAGTACGCTTGTATATGCCGGCATATACTGTTGTTGTTGTAGTATTCGACTCGATAAACAATATGCTCAGAGAGTTTATATTTCTAATGTAAATAAATTCGCCTTTCATGCACTATATGCCCTAACGTTGATTCAATTTTTCACATATTAATGCACATGATTGAGTATCCATGTAGCATCAATAAGATAAAAAGTTATATTTACACTTACTCTCTCTCGAACACACACACACACACAAATAAAATTTCACACACAAAATCTATGATGCAGGGGAGCTGATTTAATTCAAGCACCGAAACAATGAGTGACTCGCACTGATTTTATACTTCATGCGGCAAATATAATGTAGTTTCTCATGTGTGTTCTTTTTATCAGATATTGTAGAAATAGAGAACTGTGTAAATATTTACCTGATAATAGGAATCCGCCATTTTGATGTCCTTCAGTGATAGAAATTACTTATTCTCACTCTGTGGCAATATATGTTGTTGATTTCTTGAAATGCCGCACTTGATTTCTGCCGATTTTTCCGGAGTGCAAATAATAATAATGTTCATACGAGAAAAAAAAAATATGTTTTTTATAATGCGTATTCTATGTGTTTATCTTAAGTTTCTTCTTCTTTTTTATTCGTTTTAAATTCTCTGCACTCTGTGTTTTGTTCTTTTTCCCCGAACCTGTTAAGTAACACACGCACGACGAAAGATGATCACCATAAACGACGGAACAAAGTATGGAGAGAACAACGATCACATCAGGTACATACTATATGATGAGAGAGAGAGAGAGAGAGAGAGAGAGAGAGAGAGAGAGAGAGTGAGAGAAAGAAAAAATAAACGTTTCGCGTTACGACAAAGAAATTATACACAAAACACCAACTCAAACGCACAAAGATAGTCGAACTCTCTTTCTTTCAATGATCTGACTAATAATAACGATGATGGTGACAATAAAAACAACAACTATAATAATAACACATCGTCTTATTCATTCTCTCGCTCTTAATTCGTGAATTTGATTTCTGTTTTCGTGGATGAATGTGTGCTTTTTTCATTCGTACTTTTGGTGTAAATTAATTTCTTTTCGCACACATTTGATTGAAATCATTTCATACAAAGAATATTTTTTGAGATTAGTTTAAATTCAGCAAAAGTGAATTGATTTCGCCAAAAAAAGAGAGAAAATCACGAGAACGAATCTGATGACAAACGAATGGTCAAGATCATTTGTTTCGTGACTACTATATCTGAACGATTTGAAAAATGCATATGATTTTATTTCTTCTTTGTTAAATTGAGATAAAACACCAACAACATAAATTTGAAAGAAATTCGTTTTTTTTTTCGAATTTTGTTTGCTGCTGCGCAAGCTTCGTATAAATTGGTGCATCGATAAAATGCGTATGATGAATGCAACAGGCTATTGAACAGTGAGCAAATTATTTGATTTCTGTTGTTGTTTCTATTGTGTTTTTTTTTCTTCTTCTGTGTATTTTCTCCAATTGCAGCAAAGTTATACAATGTTCACACACATTTTATTTTAACTTTTTTTTTCTTTTTTATATTCTCTCATAACTTTTTTTATATATTCTTCATTCTGTTTCAGTATCTGATTTTTTTCTGCATTGTATACCGATCACTTCAGTGGAGATAGATGTCTTGAGTTTGTGAGCTCGTATGCGTGAGCGTACTGTAGATATATATATATATATATTGAGTTTGAGGAACACAGACATTAAAACATGCAAGTGAATGAACAAAAAAAAGAAGAAAATGATTCCTCAGATTTAAATTGTTTTGTTTGATGCCTTTTTTATTATCTATCTATCGGTTTCAGGTTTGTATGCGATTTTTCGCTGTCGTGGAGTTGAAATTCATGAACACATACACAAAAACCTCGCAATAAAATGTTTTGTCGATATGATATTTTTCAAGATCGGCGATATACAATTTGACGGTGTCCGACCGTTTGCCAAGAAAAAATGTTATTGAATTTATGTCGATTGAACTCTTTTCACATACATTCAATTAAAGTAACAAATTCTTTGTACCGATAGCAATGTGAATCGCCTTTAAATCTATGACTCTTTTCTCAAATTTATGTATGCACAATTTCATTTCCGAGTCTATTGGCGTTTTCTCATTCAGAACAAATGTTCTTTGTTTTTTTTTTTTATTATTCGGAGCTGTTCTGATGAAATCGTGTCTCTGTTTTACTTGCACAAACATTTATCCGGAAGATGAACAAACGGAAGAAAATAAAAACTTCCAAAACGAATTTGTTCAAATGCGTTGACAATTATTCGACTCTCGATCACAATGGTCATTTGAAATAATACATTCAACTATAGAAAATTGCCACATACCACCATCAATAACAACAAAAACAAAATAGATACGACACTGACACCCGAATTGAAATGAACGTAAAAAATGTGAGATGATAAGTAGTAATATTCCTGAATCAAATCATACGAACGAAACAAAAAAAAAGTTGAACAACTTATCGAACACAAAACAGTTTCACACACGGCGACATATTGAAATTCCTATGCATGTAATTGTCTTTCTCTCACTGTTCTCGCATTTCGTTTCATTCTTCATTTCGTTTCATGTGTTGTGCGGTGTGTCTGCCACAATTGCCAGTTTTGCTTTGAGTATTGCCAGCGCTCAAATGCCTCTATTGCTCAATTCGTGCGGCATTTCATATAAATAATTCGACTTTTGTATTGTTTTCACTTTTTTGTTTCTTTCTCTCTCTCTCTCTCTCTCTCTCTCTCTCTCTCTCTCTCTCTTCTCGCTATTACACAATGTAATGAAATAATTCGATAATAAAAATGTAAAAGTAAAAAAGAAAATTCAGAATAATTTTAAATAAATGAAATACATCGCTTTTGATAGAGAATTAAACTTTTATTTCTCAGAAGAAGAAAAACCGTACAAATGACATCCATTGGAAAGAAGGGAAGAAAAATAAAAAGCAACACAATGAAAAATTTGGTTTTATTCCAAGCGAAAACATGCTATTATTCGAATGAATTACATTATTCTATACAGGCATTGAAAAGAATAAACTCATTTGAATATTTTGTGTCGCTTGCCAGTTGCAAATTCGCCGGAATTTTCTTGTCCAACGAATGAAAGACAACTGCAAACGACATTTTATTCACATTTTGGCATTAATCCCAAAAGAGAGTTATTGTGCATGCGACTTTCATACGGTCATTTCGTTAAGAATTCCTTTTTTTGCGTACTTGCAAGACATTATTGACGTACGAAAAATCTAAATAACGTCCTTGAAATCACTTCTCATCATCTTTTAATCTACATGATATAACTTAAATTTTAGTGTTTGGAAGACTCTCATTCACTTGCTCACAAATTAGTACTTTATAAATCATTTTTTTTTTCAAGTTCAAAAACTGAACGTTGTGTAAATTTCTCAAGAAAAAAGCATTAGAGGAACGTAATGCAATGTTTGTACCCAAACATAATGCCAATGAAAAATGACCAATTTAGATTTTTTTTGTTATAATTCAAATGTTTAAAAAAAATGTTTATATGCTGTTGGTATTGACATTTTGACGTTTGTGGAATGTTTGCTTTATATTGACATCCGCTTGTTGCTCTTTAGTGTTGTCGCTGCATAGCAACAAAAAGGTCTATTTGCACATGAATTGTTTTGAAAATGAGCTACTATGACAGAAACGGATCAAAATTATTTCCATTGAAATCAATATAATAAAAATTATAAAATGGACTGCATTGAAAATGTAGCAAGAGATATAAAAAAAACCGCACAAAACCCAGTAACTGAAAGTGAAAACCTTATAAATCCATTTTATACGTGAAACTTTTTATTAAATGTTATTCTGAAAGCTTCAAAAAAGCATTTTATTAAAGCTTTGAATAAAAGACAAACTAAAGTCGATTTTAAAAAAATTAAAATTAATCACACAATGATGTGTCTATCATATTTCTCCTTTCACAATAAACTGTATAAAAAAATTGGGGAGGCAGTGTAAACACATTCTGCTTTTGTAACAACTCTATTTGTCAGTATTGAATTTCTTGTGCATTGAAAGTTGATCGTCCAAGGTTGCGAGATATTTCATTGAAGATAATTCAAAAAAATTCATTGAGAAACTAAGACAGAAAACGCGCAACAAACGTAATCAAGATGGTGAGATCTGTCAATGATTCTCATCGTTGACATCGATACAAGTGACAATGAGTTAAGAATCGACAGAAAATCGAGAGAAAGAGAGATAGAGAAATAAAAAGATAACAGTTGAACACGATGTCTTTTTATCTAAATTCGAAGAGACATCCAGACATCCAGTCAAACGAATTTAACAAAATAATCAACAATAGTCCAAAAATAACTAAATCAATTCAATTCTTAAGCTCTGATTCTGTGGATGTTTCTATTTCAATTTAAGTGTGTGTGTGTGTGTGTACATACGCGAATGGTGGGTCTTTGTTTTTTTTATTAATGATGTATGCTATATTCTCTTCTATCTTCGAGGATTGTAGACAACGTACTGTCACATACGATGACACTTTTCGTGCCGTCGAATGTGCGCTTCAAATCGATTCATCATCGGCCGATATTCTCATGTATTTCTTATTCTTTTCCCAATCGTCCCATTTTAAAATCGTTTACATATCTTTTCATTGAATTGATATATTCCATTTCCAATTTGATATCATGAAGCTCACGAATCAATCGTGCATAGTTTGGAAGTATTCACACTTGTTAACATAATTGAATAATAAAAATGAACGTTCAACGTAAGCGAACGTAAGTGAAAAAACCGATTAAATATTGGAAGTTTTTATTTTGTGATAATGTTTACACATTAATAGGTGATTACTTGCACCTGAATAATGTTTGAATTATATTTGTGTGTGTGTGTGTTTTTTTTTCTTCATTTTGTCGATGACTGGCGATGCATTTAGATGCTATTCAACTTCATCGAAATGGAAATAAAACCAAACAAACACATAAAAATACGCACGCACGCACGTCAATTAATTCGAATGTTATGTTTCTGGTCAAGTTAAAAACATAATTTGTTTGATGCCCTCTTAAATGAAAATCACGATTAACATATTTAGTGGCATTTTTAAGTCGAAAAAATCCATTTAACCGAAGAATAAAACGATATTAAGAAAAGCAATTTTTCGTTGAGAGAATCATAGCTGGGCAAAAATGAAAACAAAACACAAAAATTACAATACGTAGGAAATAAACGTAGATTATTTATGTTGGTTACATGGTAATTGCTCTATTTAAACTGTTCAGTTTTGAAGCATAGAATAATGAATAAAGTGCAAAACTTCCCTGCAGCCAAGTGTATTGAGTGCATTGCATTGCGCGTTCGCGTAGCCACCATTCTCTCATTGGCTCCTTTGCATCAATTAAATGTAATTTGAAATTCGTGAAATTCTAGCTCTTGTGCAACGGTTATTAAACACATTTATTCACTTTTGCCTAATATAATCGGTTGCCGATTGCCGGTAAAAATTACGTGTGTATTTATTCTACACTTCCATAAAATAGTTCGTGTCATAATTTTCTATTTGATGGAAATTCGCGGAACATTTTTTTTTAGTTCGCCTTCATACCGATCGAAAGTCCGGTTATGAGTGGCAGGTGATGAGAGCACCAAACTTAAAGAGCAAACCACTTGAAAATATGCAACTTTTTCATTTGCTTACACTCTACATTTGACCTTTTCCCATTTGAATTACAGACATAGTGATCTCAGCATTTTTTTCTTCACAAACTAGATGATTATAAATACGCTGTAAAGATTACAATGGAGAAAGAAAAAAAACTCTTAAGCATGGATTGATAGAGAAAAATATGAGAATTGAGACCGATGTTCACTGGTTGGGAAAATCGAGACAATTCAAATTACATACATTTCTCCTGTATATAGGAAAAGTACAACGTCATCGTGCGTATTTATGGCGACGATTTCACGTCTATTCCCAATTTTTGGTGCTGCTGATGTCGTTGTGGTTTGATTCTTCTTCTTTTTTGATGTGATGTCAAAGTCATTGTTAGTGCTAAATTACAATAATTATATCTATTAAACGCGCCGGTATTTGCCTTTTGATTGAGTTTGATGTGTACAGGTTACAGTAGTTACGTAGCACAAAAAAAAAACGAATTTTTGAGACGGACTGTGGAGATATCGTGAATCGAAAAAAAAAATCATAAATTGTAGTCCCAAATTTGGCAATTGTGAGTGGTCAAAAAATGTGCAAAATTACGGTTGAAGTTTTGAATTCACGTGCAGATAAATATGGACTCTATTACCATTGCACACTTATACATGTTTGCCAATCTCTCATCGAAATCACATAGAAGGCTTGAGCGAGGCAAATGGAAAAGTAAAGACTTTGGTTGAAACAAATCCAATCAAAATCTTACGCTCAATCGATCCTCTATCCGAATGATAATCTCATTCATAATAACGTCTATAATATTTCTTGCATGTTTTTTGTTTGCTTTCGGTTTCCGTTTTATTGATCGTGGACACTTTACATTTTCCTGCTTATGTTTTCTCATCAATCGAAATAACCCACCCGTCCCATCCTACAGAAAGTAAAACCGATTGAATTTATTGGAATTTCATGATTGATGACATTTATCAAATCCAGCACACAACAATTTCGGTCCAACTTGGATTCTTCTTTTTTCACAAAATTCAAATATTTCTGTTACAGAGGTAAAATCATTTTTTTTACCATTTGAACACACGCAAATTTCAGTTTGGTTTTGAATCATAAGAACCCAAATCGTTGTTGTTTTTGTCCTAATGTTTTTTCTTCTGTTTTTCAAAAAGATGAAACATAACGCTGAAATTAATGATGCATATTAGTCGCGGTCGTTTGATCAACATTTCTATGGTTCTAGACGTATAACATAAAATTGCCTCGAGAGAAAAATGGAATCGGTCAATTCAGTAGCTGATTTTGTGTGATAAATTATCCCCTAAAAACTGTTGAATATAATCGATGCTCTGGTTAAGAATTTCGAGGAAAAAAAACAAGATCTAACATCTGTAAAGATTTCGCTACTGTATGCCATGTATTGGATGGTAAAATTTAACGATTTTAAGAGTTCCAATCAAAGTCGCAGTTTATTCGAAATAGTTTTTGTAGTTAATAAGTTTCGTTCCATCCATTCAATAGAATTGATTCATTTGAATTAATATTTTAAATTTGAAATTGTCACGTTTTGTTTCAATAACATATTTGGATGAACTGATGTTTAGATCTGCTACTTGTCATAACAATTGAACGCTTGTTTAATCGCATTACAGCGAATGATTATTTTT